TATAATAATAATAATAATAATAATAATAATAATAATAATAATAATAATAATAATAATAATAATAATAATAATAATAATAATAATAATAATAATAATAATAATAATAATAATAATAGTCAATAATACTATTAGCAAGTTCAGCACCTTTCTTCTCCATTCCAGGAGTACCCTTCTCGAGCAAAGTTCAGTAAACGAGTAAATGAGTAAACAAGCAATCGAGTAAATAAGTTTCCCCTGAAATGACAGCGACAATGTCAAGAATTTCATTATGTCAAACAGTTTCATTAAATTTTCTTCCTTTCTTTTGAACCTAATTAGGATATTTCGTAATTTTACAATATTTACAAACTATAACTTTTCTTTCGTTTTTTTTTTTTAAATTTTGATTAAGACATCAAATTAAATCATTGATAATGCATTTACAAATGATGATAATCATTATCATGTGATAATAATATTATTACTGCATTTTGAAGCAAACAGCTGGATAAACATTCTCGATCGGTCTCGGAATTGATATATCTCGAAATTATTTGTACTCCATATGATTAATTCATTCATAACTATTTATATTTTGCTTCACAATAAACAACATATTCTACGGCATGGTTTTATTTTTTAATTTAACTTGAAAATTCATTTCCGGAAAAATATACCGGTTCAATTTAATAATCCAATTTATCACAAACTGTTTTAAATTATTTTAATTTATATTTTAGGCTTTTTAGGCGAAAATATTATATCGTAGAAAAAATTCAGTACTTTTTCTTATCCCTTATCATCAAATAAATTATCACTCTAATATTTTTCTATTCAAACTTATATTTCTATGATAAAATTTCTCCATTGATTTGCTGATTGCAAAGACAAACTGGAAATTTAGACATTAATTAGAATTGAAAAATAAACCAGTTATTGCCTTTAATTAACAAATAGTATTTCAGATAACTATGAAAATCGAACAGTCACAGATTGTTAATTCGAAATATTTGCTGAAATTTTTGAAATCACAAAAAAATTTTCACAAATTTTTTGAAATCTTTATCAAATTACAACACTTATTTCGATATGATAAATGTTAATTAATCAAATTATCTTCTGTTTAATGAAGAATTATATAATTTAAAATATGTGTTATTAACTTTTATTTCATATTTTAATATCAATTTATGTCGAATATCCGTAGTGAAAGTGGTTTTGTTTGCTTGAAGTATATCGATATAGACTTGTACCAACATGAATTAATCACTTTTTTATCTTATTACCCAAGTTTATCACTTTTTTATCACACATCATCTGATAGATACTTTGTCCATTGTACTATCATTGGGACATTCGAATACTTCTCAAATCCATTCTATAAATTCAATAATTTTTTTCTTGTTTCTTTCTAATACTTTGAATACTTTTATATTTTCATTATCATACAATTTTAATTTTGAAACATTTATTCAATCATAAATTTCTAAAATTTTCATTATCACAAAATTTTAATTCTGAAACATTTATTCATTTATTACTAACAAATTCTACTTTTTTTTTTTTTTTTGTTTACCATTAAGATTATTTATTGTACATTTGCACCAATGTTTGCTTTACTTAAATAAATCAAAAAGTTATCTTATTTCACTTATTCCTACATCATTTTCATTTTACCACTTAACATATTCCTAATTTCATTCTTATCAACTATTTTATAATTTGTTTCATTTCAGTTAATCTTTCAATCATTTAAATATTGATTTAAGTGAAATTTTAAAATTTTACCTTGTCTTATCATCAGTCTATCTTTTTTTTTGTATTGAATAAAAATGAATTAATACTTACAAATTGTTATACTGCTAATATTTGCAGTATGATAAAGTTTTGTTAATTGAGGAAAAATAATTTAGTGATAGTATGTTGTATGATAATTGCAAACTAATTATAGTATTAATTTAATTACTCTTTATCAACACACTTTCTTCTCATCATATTTTTGTTAGTGGTATTACGTCAAATGATGATAATATTTGATCATTTCGAAAAATGATATGAATCGTGATAATATAAATTATCACCTGATATTAATAAAACATAAATATATAATAAATATTATTTGGTAACAATTGAAATATAAAATTCAATATCAATTAACTCAATGATAATTGAATTTGAACGATTTGCACAAAAGATGATTGATTGATAAGTGTTGTGCTAATCATAGAGGCTTATTTTAGATTAAATTCAAATTTACTAACCAGTCTTTCTTTTTCATTCTTTGATATTACTTTTAAAGATATGCCTTATCTTGTTCACATTTTCACATTTGCTAATAAAATTTTTTTTTTTTGCATTAATTAGCTTTTTTCTTTTTTTTCTTTTCTTCTTCCGCTAAATTATTCACATATTGCATAACATCTGGTTGAAGGAATATAAATTTTTGGCAAAAATTTGTTCAACAAACTAATCATAGTACATGAATACCTGGTTAATTAGTAATAATTCAATGTTGAAAATTTCATAGATTCATTAATTTAATTACTATTTATTGCCATATTTTTGCTATTACTAATTTATACAAAATAATGATGTTTGATCTTTTTGAAAAGTTTCAAAAATTAATTACTTTGTTTACAATATGAATATATTTGTTTGTAATTTATTTCTATGCTTGTAAAAATGATAAAATTATTAGGAAGAATAAATTGATAGTATATTTTCAAGGAAAAAAAAAAATTTCAGATCAAAAAGAAAATTTCAGGGAAAAAAAATTTCAGATTTCAGATCAATTTTGATTTTCTTTACTTTTTTATGAAAAATGTTGAAACTGCATGCAGTATTACTAATAACTGCATTTGGTACAGTAGCCATATTTCTTACTGGGCAATTTGCATCTGATTATTTATCTTTAATTAAGGTTAGAATTATTAAACTTCACTTCTTCTTTTTTTTTTTCATCGAAAAGATAAATGATGGCGACAATGTAAAGAATTGAATTTTGTTCAATAAATTTAAGAAATAAATTAATTTCTTTAAAAAAAAGAAAATTTATTTTTAGTATGCAAAAATAAACGAAAGTGATGTAATACCGATGCTAGGAATAAGGCGGCAAAACACGTGTGTTACGTTTCAACGATTAAATAATGCTATGATCGAAATAGATGTAAGAATGAAATAATCATTTCAATTATCCATTTCAATTAGAAAAAAAAATTTTTTGATTAACTATTTCAAATTGTTTCTATCCACAAAGTTGTTAGTTAATTTCTCAGTTCAATTTCGTTTTGAATATTATAATGATTGAAAAAATAAAAAAAATTAGAAAATCAATAATCCGAAAAATGAACATATATTTAGAAATAGGAAATTTTTCACTATAAACTTTTAATATTTAGTAAAAATTTTTAACAGGTCAAAGGTCACAACATTCAATTGAAACGAAATAAACAAAATGCAACAAAACATTTAAATGTATTTGTCGTTTTACATTCACATGTTGATCCTGGATGGTTGTATACATTTGAAGAATATTACAGTACTACTGATCATTCGGTACTTAATCATTTATAACTGTATATAATTACGCTCTCTGGAAAAATTATAATGGTTTTATTATTTTAGCAAGAAATTTGTTTATTGATGATAAAATTATTTGATTATCTCAAATTTAATCTAAAAATTAAAATATCTAATTTTTGGTAATAATTTTCTTTTTATTTTTTTAATTTTAGATTGTAAATTGTATATTTTAGGTTCGAAAAATTTTAAACAATGTTGTGAATTCACTTCGAAAACATCCTAAATTGCGTTTCATTTGGTCTGAAATATCATTCCTAGAAAGATGGTGGTCAGAAGCTAATACAACCTATCGAAAGTATTTTAAAAGGTTAGCATAATAGATGTAAAAAAAAAAATGAGAAAGCGAGAGAGAGAGAGAGAAATATAAGAAAAATGATTGAAATATTCATTTTTTTTAATTAAATAATCAAACTTATCATATTCTTTTATAGCTTAACAGATAATGGTCAGTTAGAAATTAGCGGTGGTCATTGGGTAATGAATGATGAAGCAACGCCATATTTTTGGGAAGTTATTGAAAATATCATCATTGGACATCAATATGTACAAAAAATTTTAAATATTACACCAACAACATCATGGTATTTTTTTTTTTTTTAGGATAATTTGTGAAATTTTAATATCAAAAAAATTTTTAAAAAATATTTTTCTGATTATCAATGTTATCAATTTTAATCAATAATTGCATTCAATCATTGATTAAAATTGATAACATTAGTGATTAAAAGAAGAATTTTTTGAACTCTTCCTTGCTGGGTATTTTTTTTTACTTTTTTTGTATTATGCAAATAAATGAATACTGTGATAAAATAATACTAAAACATATCAATATCGATTTTTTTTTCTTTTCATAGGGAGGGAAAAAAAAATGCAAAGACAGTATTCATTTAAATAACACTTTCCGGACAAGATTGAATAAATTAAGTAAAAGGAAATGCAACATTATAAGGAGCAGATAAACCGGAATACATACAGGTCAGTGGATCCATTCGGTCATGGACTTATGATGCCATATCTGTTGATGCTCTCCGGTATTAATCAAATGGTAATAGGTCGGATCAATTCAAATATCAAAAATGTGTTAAAACAGCATCATCAACTACATTTTCGTTGGGCACAAAAATGGGATCCGGTAAAAATTTTTTTTTTTTGTAATTCTGGCAAAAATAGAAGGGTGAAAGGTGAAAGGTGAAAAGTTAAGCAAGAAAAAAGGTTGTTGTACAAGTGATAAGAAGATAAGGAGAAGAGAAGAGAAAAAAAAAAACTCAAACAGGGAATTAAGTATCAGATTATTCTAGTAATTACTGTAAATTATTGATTTTCTCATAAGGATTAATAATTATTCATCGATTTCATATTAGCATATTTATTAAAAATTATAGCAATTTCGTTGGGCTCCATTTGTTAATACATTGCCAAATGTATATTATACAGTAAGTGATGCTTGTGGAACGAATGAAATGATTTGTTGTCAATTCGATGTTTCCAGGACATCTCGGTCATATTGTTTGGAACGAGCTCATATTGATAATACACAACAAATTGCTTTATAGTATGTTCTGTTATATTTCATTATTACATTTTTTTTTCCTCATCTTTTTTCTAATACAATCAATAGATATATATATTTGAATTAATGAAGAGTAAATTCGAGAATTCTCGAGAATTAAATGATATTAAAATATCAATTTATAGTGGTGAACGAATGGCAAATCAATATCGTTCCTTGCAAACATTTTATAATTCAGAAACGATTTTAATAGCTGCAGGCGATGATTTCCTTTATTCACATCCGGATGATTTAGAAATAGTTTATCGTATTTATACTGCACTCTTCAAATATATCAATCGAAATTATGATCGTTTTAATATGAAGGTTAATTTATTAAGCATAATTGATCATTTTTGAAATGTTAAATTTATCTCACAAATAACTTATCAACTAAAATGTACCAATCAATATTTTCCGGGGATATTAATAAAAGGTGAACAAAGCACATGGTGATTTATTTATCACTAATTTAATTATTGATTAATTATTATTAGCAGAATGATTATTAATTAATTCATAAGATAATATTTGAAAATTATTCAAACAATACGGTACAATTAAATTCAAAGTTTTATTAAATTTTGAAATTTAAACATTACATTTAAATATTCACGTATTACGGTACAATTTGATATATTCAATTATTGATTAATTATTATTATTATTGTTGTTATTAATGATGAAATGATTATTAATTAGGTGCAATTTGGTACGGTAGCAAATTATTTCAATGCATTAAACAAAAATACGAAAAAATCGGCTTCTGTGCTTAATGGCGATTTTTTTCCATATATGGATGATGAATTCAGTAAAGCACCATTTTGGATCGGTTTTTATAATCATCGAGCATATTTTAAGTGTTTCGAAAGAATTATTCAAGTATAAAATTTCTAGTTTTTATTAAATTAATTAATTTAATTTTTTTACATTTTACACTAAAATAACTGAAATACGATGAAAAATAAATTAATTAAAGAGAGAATTACGTTTGGTGGATTTATTAACTGTCACAATCGAAAACAATTTTAACAATGATTTGGAAATGGCACGTCGAAATTTAGCACTTTGTATACATCACGATGCAATTACGGGTACCAGTAAATGTCATGTCATGGATGATTACATGTTAAGGTGACATATGCAAATGATTTATCAATTGAGGCATTATTATTTATCATTGAGATATTTTTAACTATCACTTATCAAAGCATTAATAATTAATAATAATTGAAATAATATTATTAAATCTTCTCTCTCTATAGCTAATTAATGATATAGCTAATTAATGATTACGACATTTTTGTTATTAGTAATAAAGTAGTGTTAACTTTAACAAAAAAGAATGAAAAGTAATACTTAACAAAAATATGTTTCAGATTAAGGTCAGCTTTGCAAACGATATTAAAGGAGCAGGAAAGATTATTAAACATTTCTAATAATACTTTCACAACAATGGTAAATTTACAATCTTCTCTTTTTATAGCTAATTAATGACTTTACAATTTAATTAATTTTATCTTTCAATATTTCAAAAAAAAAAATGAAATTCCAGTTAATTAATGATTCGGTGAAAACAAAAGGAATGTATTTACGCCGTAGAACACTTTCATTTACTGATGGCATCGAAAGGTATTTTAGCATTCAAATAATTTTTCATATAAAAAAAAGAAGTTTAGGAAGATTGTTAGTTATTCAAATTATTTGTAATGAACAAATGAGCTATGGCGCAAAATGGATAGAACGAATGTTTTTTTTTTTATTCAAAGAAAAAAATTCTATTTACTTTTGTCAAATGAAAAATTCTTTCAAAAAAATGTAAAAATTTTAAAACATTGTAAATTTGCGCCACATATTTGATAAGAAAAAATTTTATAAAATTTCATTTAAAAATTTCAATTATCGCATAATAAACATATGATAATTTGTTTAGAAAGAATTAAAATTAAAATCGTCAAAATTTAAAAAAAAGAATTAAAATTAAAATCGTCAAAATTTTAATTTTACAGTTACAAAATTCAAATTGTAAATCAAAAAGCATTCTCAACAATGGAATTAATTAAATTAAACATATCATCATCATTTGTTACTGTAACACACGATGGTAAACAATTAACAATACAATTGGTGCCATTATTAGAGCAATCTAATCTTTTTGAAGTAAGCGCTAAAATTTCTTTTTTTTTTCTTTCATCAAATTAATTGAAATTTCAATCTTTTAAAAATCTTCGTATGATATCGAAATTTCAATTCAATAAAATTACAGAAAATTTGTTTAAGTTAATTCTAATATGTATTTTTAGTTATCATTTTTTGTTCCCCTTATTCCATTTTCACGAACATTTGTTATTGTAAAATTCGATAGAAATCAGTCTAATTCAAAAAATTCAATGAAATCTGCAAATTTTATTGGAAAAATATGCAGGTATGCTTAGTAATAAATTTAATTAATAAACTTATTTAGTAGTAAATTTAATTTTTTCATCGTTTATGAGTAAAAAAAAAAAGAAAAACAAGTCATATGTAATTATTAAAATTCCAAACAAATTTTTATAAATACTTTTTAACAAAATTACGAATTATTTTTTCAGTCCAGAAATGATACATTCAAATAATGATACCATTATATTGAAGAATTATTTTTTTACAATTTTTTGGAATATAAACAATACAAAAAAACATCGAGTTAGTTATTTTAAATTCTTAGAAAAAATGATTTTTGCTCTTTTTTGCATATTTAATTTTTTTAGTTTTTCAGATTTATAGTAAATTAAAATATTTCTTTATCCAAATTTATTTTAACATTTGATAGTAATTATAATCGGATAACATAATAGCTACAGTTTTTTTTTTTTTTTAAATTTTATTTGATAAAATTAGAACAGAAGATATTTATTTTGAGAAATAAACATACTTGTAAATAATTAAACTCATTCAGCTCATTTACAATGATGGAAGTATGGAAACAAATTTTGATTTTTATTTCAATCAGATTGATGATTACGGTGGTGCATATACCATGGTATCTGGATTATCATTTCAGGTTATCTCATTTTCTTTTTTTTTTTTTTCAAAATGGATATGTATTTTATATCTACATGATATATGCTTATTTACATTTTTGCTTTATGAATAAATTAATTACCGATATATTTAATTAACAAAATTATTTTTCATTAATTTATTTTGCAATAATTTTGATAATTTCTCCCTGTTGTAAATATTACAGAATATTAGCAATAAAGGTCGATTACCAGCAATTATTATCAAAGGTCCAATTTATTCAAGTATTTCACAGCAATTATCACCACAGTTAGCTTATAGTATTACAATTATCAATTCAACGGATGATATAGCTCGATCACTTCAAATTGATGTCTTTACAAATGTCACTTCAATGCCTGGCTATACATTTTTTATGAATTTAAATAGTACCATCAAAAATGATGATCATTTCTACACTGATATAAATGGGATGTATTTAATACAACGAAAGTTAGTGATTAAATTAAAAGGCATAAATTTTAGAAATTTTCATAATTTCATTTTTTCATCTAATATTTAATGCTAATAACTTTTCACAGTATCCTTTCAATCGATATTGCTATCTTCTAACACTTTTACATATATTGCTATTTATTTTTAGATATGATAAAAGGATGAAATTGGAAGCAAATATTTATCCGATGATTACTGAGACAATGATTGAAGATGATAAACTTCGTTGTACAATTCTTGGTGCACAATCAACCGGTGTTACCGCTAAATTGGGTGTATTTATGTTAATGATAGATCGAGAAATGTATAATGATGATGGGAAAGGTTTAGGATATTATGAAGCTAGTAAGGTATCAAATTTCCTTTATTAATTAATATTATCAAACATTTATTATTTTCCTAATGTTTACATCAACCGCATGTTTTGTAATTTTCAGAGCTATCCATCACATCTCAAATATCGAATTATTTTTGAACCAAAATGGCTATCAAGAAATGATTATGTTGATAAGGAAATAGTAGAGGAAAAAAATCAATAAATGATAGTTTATCAATGAACATGAAGAATACCATCATATATCATTCACAACTTGTACAACAAATTTTGGAAGAATTACTTTATCCAGTTGCTTTATTCTCATCATCAGATATCAATTCAACCGATGATAACGGTTTTTATTTCGTGAACAACAGTTCATTGTTAATTTATTTACTTATCAATTCATTCATTTCACTAAAACTAACCAATTAACCTTGATTAATACTAATGTTATCAGTGATAATCCTTTTAAATGACTGTCATACATTAATATGGTAATTATATCTAGTAATCAGTCAAACTTACCTTGAATATCCAAATAAAACCTTAGCCTCAATTCGATTCCTATCTTTTTGCAATTTCAGTTTTCTTCTCCAATTATAATTGATTATCCGTTGAAAGTTTCAAGATATGATCGTTAGCCTTATCATTCAATTCCTTCTCTGTTACTTAATAAATCCTTCATTATTATCATTATCATTTTATCATAACATATTCGTTTTATTTGTGGCATAAAACTATTTCAAATAAGTGGTTAAGTATATCGAAATAACTTTACAAATGTTATCTTTGATCCATTAAATCAACAAAGTTTCTCATTTCAATCTAATATAGAAATTAATTACAGTAAAGTTTTGTGATTAATTTTAGTTTTAAAAAAATATAATTTAACAAAAAAAATAGTTTTGGAATAGAAATTCGTTAATAGAAATTCATTAAGAATTGTTAAAGTAACAAATTAAAATCAAATACTCATTTTTATATTTTTGAAATATTCATTCATTTCTAGCAATGTACAAAGATTGTCCATTTTAAAACTATTTCAGATTTGGTATCAACATTAATTGATTTACCACGCTTACCTGATAATATTCAACTTATCACTATTCGATATATATCACAAAAAACAATACTGATATCAATGCGTCAATTACCATACGATTGTTCAGTAAAGCTATATTGCAAAAGTGACACTAATATGGTACAATTGAATCTAAAAATTTGATTTGAAATTTTTAAAAATCAAAAAAAAACGGAAATTTAAATATATGAAACAAAACTGATAGTAGTTTCAAAGCACTTTTAATTTTTGTCCTAAATTTTAATTTAGCACAATTTAAACTCCCTGATTAATTGGGATCGTCCAATTTTCTCAAATATGAACTTATCAATAAATTGCTTATTCAGTAATTACAATAATCCCATTGATAATATAACTATCATTTAAATGTAACTTGTATCGAATTCCCCAAACCCCGAAAGTATTTGTTTAGTTATTTCCCTGTGATATGATAGGATAATTCGTTAGGTTTTGTTTAAACGAATAAAAATTAACTTAATCAAAAATTTAAAAACACAATTTCAGGATTTGATTCGTTTATTTTTTTCATCATTTAACGGATCGATTTATTTATCGAATTTAACTGGTACCAAAAAAGGCAATCAAATCATTCCGGAATTAATTCCATCTTATTTCACTCAACCACTTCATATAGTTACATTCCTTGTTCTCATTAACTAATCACTTTGTTCGGTTATCCTTTTTTCTTTTTATCTTTTTCTTTATTATAAGAGTAATACAAACCTTGCAAGTATCACCAATCATGCAGCTGCACTTTACTGCACTATTGATGCGTGCATGCAATATATGTATAAATTATCAAATAATTCCTCAGCAATTTACATCTATCTAATAAACTAAGCTATCGGTTACTTTAAATTTAAAATAAAACTATGATGAAAATTTTCGTGACACTGGACGAAAATTTGTCACATTACTTTTATCATTAGATTATATGCCAATCAAGTAAGTAAAAGATTAAAAATAAGAATTAAAAAATTTGAAATTTTATTTTTTTAATTTACCAAAAAGGATTTTAAAATTTCTCATGAAAAGAATTAGAATCGAATGATAAATCTTCATTTAATTATCTAAAAATTTGCATTTGTAGATGAAAATTCAGAATTTGAATTGAATAGCCATTACTCTTTTTGGTCAAGCTAACTCCCAACAATGTTAATGGAAATATTGAAATGATTTCAGAACAGTAATCCTATTAAGATTAAATCATTCATTCAGATCAGTCAATCAATCAATCATTTCAATGAAGCATATCATCCGACAATGTAAAAGCTTCCGGATAGCATTAGATCAATTTTTTCGAAAAAAGATCAACATTCCCTCCCAACAATCATCAAATCATTTCGTTTGATCGATCAACCACCGTTACATATTTCAAAATCGTTTCCTCTTCACTTGAACAAATGCATTTCGTTCACTTGTTATTTCTTATTTATAATGGATTGTTTGGGAAATCTTAGAGGGTTCATTTTTACTTTCAAGATTGTTATCGATAAATTCAATGATAATTCAACCAATATTATCAGTGATATTTGACATCTTATCACTTCCTCATTGAATTAATCCTGAAATTACGGAATGAATTTAGTGAAATGACGTTGCAATTCATTGAAAATCACTGAAATGACGCATACTTCTGCATTAGTTACCTGATTCATCTAATTATTAAACTTTGTCGAAGATTATAGTGTGCTTGCATTTCGGCAGTAAAAAAGAAAGAAAAAAAATCACACTTGTTTTGAAATAGAACCATTAACAAGGAGAGTTTGCAATATATACTATTTGATTTTGTCTTCCATGGATTAAAGTAAGGATTTAAGATTGATAATTCTCGCTTACAATGATTTAGGTAATGATTAGATTTCGTAAATCTTTATGTAAAATTACAAATAACACATTTTGAAGAAATACAAATAACGCAGTTCAAATGATCACAACACACGAAGAAAAATGAAGCAACCAATTTGTCACAGAATTTTCATAACATAATAGTACAACTGCCAAAATCACTATAATTTTTTCATTTTTTTTGAACAAACAACTGCCATAATCAATACAATCTTATCAAGAATAAGAAGAAAAGAAGCATTCCTAGATAAAAAACTTTTTTTTCACAATGATTTTTACAAAAAAAAAAGGTTTGAAGGATGCAGATTGTATGAAAAAAAGTTGACCTGATCGAAAAAGTTCTTTATCACTTATAGCACCAATTTCAAACTACAAGATTGCCTTTCCTCCAGAGAGCGATTTTCAGATCTATCTTTTCTAAATTTTATGAGTTTAGACTAAATTTATGCGCTTGTTTCTTTTTTTTCTCTTCATATGTACCGTTTTGTTATAGATTAAATAAATAAATAAATAAAATGCTTGTAAGAACAAATATGCACAAGCAAGCTAGCTATTATAAACAGGAAAATAAGAAAAATAAGGAAACAGAAGGATTAAAAATAATGAAGATTATACAACTGGGCAAATACGAAGAAAGACATCAAAATACACCGAAATTTCAGCATTATTAGCAGGCATCAAGTCAAATTTTGTTCAACAAAATAATTTGTCAACTTTTTAAAACAAACGAATGAAAACAAGCAAAAAAAAAAAATGAATGCTTCCTTAATCTCAAGAAGATATGCAAATTATGTCAAAGCTATATATCAATTCATCCACAGCTTCTTTTGCTCCAAATGTCATCATTAACATAAGGTTAGTATAGTTACAACACAAAGATTAAATCCTATCTCGCTCAGCTGCTATCAAAATAAGATTTCGATTAAACCAAAAAGCTGACTGATATCAGTCGTCATCATCGGAAAGTGGTTCATAGGTCGGTTGCGGTGGTGGTTTCATAGGCAATGTCATGTTCCCACTTGTCGTTGTTGTTATTAACTGAGGTGGAATAATATTTGCAGTTGGTATATTTCGCGTATTTGACAGGGAATCATCCGGAGAAGAAGCAACTGGTCGGATTGTTGGAGCACTTAGTGTACCATTTCCATTATCCGGCAAATTCAGAAATGAAAAAAGAGGTAAATTTGTAGCCTGATCGGTAGAAGAGTCTGAAATCCACTTGAAAAAAATGACACGAATTACATACAAGTTTATTAGGTTTTGTTTCATGGGTTTAAATAAAAGTAACGGCAATTCTCTAGGCTATCAAATTAGTAGTATAACATATTATATTCATATATTACACAAAGTCCAA